ATATATATTATATATGTGCAAATATACAGCATACACAGCAAAGATTCTAATTGATAACTAATTTATATCATCCAAAATACCAATGCCGATTGACCTTATATAAGATGCGTTAAGGAAAACTTTATACTGATACTTGATACTTGAGTGCTATTGATACTTGACTCATTCTCTCTTTATGATTCATAAAACAAGAACAGAGCAATACTGATTGCGTCATTTTATACTTACAATGCTTGAAAACATTTACTTTACTAAGATTACTATAATAGTATATTACGAGATAGGAGCTGCTATGACGAGCAGTAATATGCACCGACTCGTGTTAGCAGTGTCGCTCTGTTAGTCACATTGTATCAAACGTTTAAAAAGAAATTGTAGGAAGATCTTCTATAACATCTATTTGTGCCATGGAATATTGGTCGATAGTATTATCGATAGTGATTGGTGTGATCAGCATTCATTACCTTTTTAAAAATTTTAATTTTTTTAAAAGAAATGGTATTATACACTTATCTCCTCTTCCATTATTCGGATCCACGATATCGTTGATATTCCGTCGAATATCATTCTTCGATTTTATGATGAAGATATACAATTTCAATCCAAACGCAAAGTATTATGGATTGTATTTCACGACAACTCCAGTCTTCTTGCTTCGCGATCTCGAATTCATTAAAACCGTTCTTGTTAAAAATTTCGATGCATTTCCAAATCGTCATGGTTTCGCCGATTTTAACGATCCTTTATTTGAAAAAAATTTGTTTTCTCTTCGTGAAGAAAAATGGCGAAATGTGAGGAATCTGTTGAGTCCCTCTTTTACTTCCAGCAAGATGAAAATGATGTTTACGTTGATGTCGGAATGTGCTGTGGATTTTGTAAAATTTATATCGACATCAGCGGATGAAGAAAGTATAAATACGAAAGATGTTTTCTCAAAATATACAAACGACGTCATCGCTACATGTGCGTTTGGAATCAAAGTCAACTCTATGCAGGATCCAACAAATAAATTCTATGTTTATGGCAAAGAGGCGAGTAACTTCAGAGGGTTCATCCGCGGTATAAAATTCCTTTTTCTTGGAACTTTTCCAAGATTCAGTCGAATTCTCAATATAAAGATTTTGGATGATTATGTGTCGAATTTCTTCAAGGACATTATAAAAACTACAATCATGACTCGTGATGCGGAACACATTACACGTCCGGATATGCTACAATTAATGATGGATATCAGAGGCAAAGAAGGTCACAGAGAATTAGACATCGACGACATGACTGCGCAAGCATTCATCTTTTTCCTCGGCGGTTTTGAGACCAGTTCAACTGCAATGTGCTATGCAGCTCATGAAATTGCAGCTAATCCAGAAATTCAGACCAAATTACAACAAGAGATCGACAACGTTTTAGAGAAATCAAACGGCGAAGTGTCTTACGAAGTCATTAATCGGCTGGAATATTTAGATGCGGTGATAAATGAGGCTCTTAGATTATATCCACCAATGATACTTTTAGAAAGATTATGTGAAAAAACTTTTGAGTTACCACCCGCATTGCCGGATGAGAAACCTTTTATCATGAAGAAAGGTATGCTTGTTTGGATTCCTGTTCTTGCAATCCATCATGATGAAAAGTATTACGACAATCCGAAGAAATTTGATCCAGAAAGATTTTTAAACAACAAGATGAACAATTCTTTGAATTATATGCCATTCGGATTAGGACCAAGAATGTGCATAGCTAATAGGTTTGCCATGCTGGAAATTAAAGTCTTGTTCTTTCACTTATTAGCGCGATGTGAGCTCAAACCTTCTGCAAAAACTACGTCCCCAATACAATTTTGCAAAGATTTCATAATAATGCCGAAAAATGGATTTTGATTGAATATTCAGCGTAGAAAAAATATGCATCCTGTATTGGAATCTATTCCTGTAGTAATGGATAATTAAGCCTCAGAAAACATTTCAAATGATAATAATGCACATTATAAAAAATTACAGTTTTTTTTTCAATTCTTTGAAGTGTTTTAAAATTCTTTTTTATCATCGTTATTAAATTGATGATTATTGTAATGTATAATTTTATTTCCACCTTTAATTCATGTTTGTAATTTAAGAGTCCGCATCGATGTATACTGTATAGAACTGAGTAATGTATTTATAAATTTTCAACTGCGATTTATAAATATTAAATTATCAAGGATTAACTGAGTTTTTTACAAATATGATTATTTTTACAAAATTTATTATTATTACAAAATTATTATTACAAAATTATCAAGATCCGTTTCAATTGAAAAATAAATTCTTCCTCCCATTTGATTTAGATTCATCGGTTTAAATTCAACTTATAAAAAAAAATACATTTTAATAAAAATTACTTTTTCTAATCGAAATTACACATGCACCTTGATGAACGCATACATATTGTATTATAATATTATATGAAATGATAATCAACATTAGATATTAAAATTACTTATTGCGAATGTTTATTATTTATTATTATCTATTATTATAGTTAATTATTAATTAATAAATTAATAGTTTTGTAACTTCAAGAACAAATCCAATATAAATAAAACGCTTATATGAGCCTCTGTAATTGTTAGAGCATAAATTATATATTTATAATGCGATGAAACATAATTCGCCGACAATGTACTTACCAAGCGAAGTTTGCATACATACAGGCCGGCATTTATCTTATTGAATTAATAATTAGTATTATTGAAATATTGTTGAATTACAATTTAGCAAAAATAAAATCTTTACAGATTACAGCAATTTTTATTTATATGATCGAATTTGCTTTTTCCGTAATATATTTTTATAATACATTGATATAGATTTTTTTAAAATCAATCAGAAGAAAACACGATAAGGAATGCGTATAGGATATTTATTATTCATATTTATTATTAATTTAATATAATAATAATTATAATTATTTATATTTATTATTAATATTTACTATCTTATTAATATTTATTTTCTTAATATTTACTATTACTTTTAGTAATAGCGCTTTTTAAAATGTGTTCGCGTGGTGATCAATTGATATTTTAATTAATTCATTTTTATGTATAAATCAGTTTTCTTTATTACTTATAAATAACTATAAACTAAGACACGTTATCAGTAACAAATAATATTTTTTTAAAGATTAAAAATTAGAAGATATACAGGTTTTTAAACATATTTCTTATGTAATATTTTTTTTAGTAAGTTAATTCATAACTTACACACTGAAAAGAAATTACTCTATATCATAATAAATATTTTTTTAAATAAGTAGACATTTTTACTTACAGTAAGTAAATATATATACTTAATGGTAGTTAAATTAAATTAATGATTCTTGTTCAAACTATATATAAGATATTTACTCAATCATACATATAATAGTTTTGTTTTCAACTTCATTTCTTGAACACAATGCTGATTAAGTAATCGAGAAAATTGAATGATTGTTAGAACGACATATTCTCACTAATATGATGTAGGAACCAAGGTCAAAATAATTTTTAATTTATCATGATAGAATCAAAAATAAAAATAAAAAATTGCAAAATGAGAGACAACTTTTTGATTTAGTTTAATTCACTCTATCTATACAAGAGCGCTTTGTCAAAACTTAACAGACATACTGTACATGTATGTATGTATATATATATATATATATCATGAATCTCTCTCCTCCCTCTTTCTCTCTCTCTCTCTCTCTCTCTCTCTCTCTCTCTCTCTCTCTCACAAATAGCGCTGGTATCAGTATCGTTTCTTTTAACTCATCTTATGTAAAATTAGCGTTGATATCAATGCATAACAATAATTCATTGTTATGTATGCTATATGTTTGCACATATGTAACATATATGTGTATATATTTCCATACATACATGCATATATACATATGTATTGGATGGATCCATATAATCTCTCGGTTTTTGTTAGTAGTGCAAATTTTTTCCGAATATCTCCGGTTCTGGTTGCCTAATCAGGCAATCCAAATATGTTTTGGAAAGGTGACAGTTCGCTCTTTTTATCTGTCAAATTTGGTTTCATTGGCATTAGTTTTGTTTGTGCTACAAGCCTGTGAACATGTCGGAGAATAAGGTGCATTTTCGGCATATTTTACTTTATTACTTCAAGAAAGGCAAGCGAGCTGCGGAGGCCCACCAAGGTTGATTCGAATGATATCAAGGCACTGGTTGAGCAAGACCGGACGCTAAAGGTGCGAGAGATTGCGGAGACACTTAAAATAGATTATGGAACCGTTCAAAGACATTTGCAACAGCTTGGCTACGTGTCCCGCTCTTTGGGTGCCGCACAAGCTGACCGAGGAGAACCTGGCCAATCGCATGTCCATCTGCAATTCACTTCTGAAGCGGCACGAAAGCGATCCGTTTCTCAAACGAATAGTGACTGGCGACGAAAAGTGGATCATCTACGACAACATAGTGCGCAAGAGATCATGGGGAATCGCTGGCGAGCCGCCGAATGTCACCCCGAAGGCCGGCCTGCATCCGAAGAAAATTTTGCCATCCATATGGTGGGATCACCGTCGTGCGCTGTTTTGCTTCCTCAGGGAAAAACGATTGATTCGAAGGTCTACTGCACGCAGTAAACGAAATTGAATCAAGCATTGCGACAGAAACGTCCAGAACTGGTCAATCGCAAAGGTGTCATATTCCACCATGACAACGCCAGACCCCACACCGCAATAATCACTCAGCAAAAATTAGTGCAACTTGGCTGGGATGTTTTGCCCCACCCACCGTATTCACCAGACCTTGCGCCATCCGACTACCACTTGTTCCGGTCCCTACAAAACTCCCTCAACGGGAAATCGTTCGCTGATCAGACAGCTGTAAAAACGTACCTCGACCGGTTTTTCGCCTCTAAGCCCCAGACCTTCTATGAGAGTGGAATAATGAAATTGTTGAAAAGATGGCAAGAGGTCATCAACAAAAACGTATATATCATACGGAGAATATATCATTGATTAAAATTCATTCTTTGTATGAAAAAAACTTGTTTCATTTTAGCCTTCAAAAACCGAGATTATATGAATCCACCCAATATTATCATATATTAAATGTAAAACAAGGACAGAGTAATATTGATAGCATTATCTTAACACATACTTGTAACATTTATTTCACTAAATTCACTAGTATATTATGCGATAGGAGTTGCTGTGACGAGCAGTAGTATGCAACAACTCGCACCAACGGTATCGCAAGTGTTCTGTGTGTAGCCAGTCGTATTTCATGAAACGTTTAAAAAGAGATTGTAAAAAGATCTTGTAATAACATCTATTTCTGCCATGGAATATTGGTCGATACTATTATCGATAGTGATCGGTGTGATCAGCATTAATTATCTTTTTAAAAATTTTAATTTCTTTAAAAGAAATGATATTATACACATGCCGCCTGTTCCATTATTTGGATCCGCGATGTCGGTTCTATTCCGTCGGATGTCATACTCTGATTTCTTGTTGAAGATATACAATTTCAATCCAAACGCAAAGTATCTTGGATTGTACTTCACGACAATTCCAATCTTCTTACTTCGCGATCTCGAACTCATTAAAACTGTCCTTGTTAAAAATTTTGAGGCGTTTCCAGATCGTCGTGGTTTCGCCGACTTTAACGATTTTTTATTTAAGAAAAATTTGTTTTCTCTTAGCGGAGAAGAATGGCGGAATGTGAGAAATCTGTTGACTCCGTCTTTTACTTCCAGCAAGATGAAAATGATGTTCACATTGATGTCCGAATGTGCTGTGGATTTTGCAAAATTTCTATTATCACCAGCAAATAAAGGCGATATAAACATGAAAGACGTCTGTTCTAAATATACAAACGACGTCATCGCTACCTGTGCATTTGGAATCAAAGTCAATTCTATGAAGGATCCAACGAATAAATTCTATACTTACGGCAAGGAGGCGAGTAACTTCAAAGGAGTCAGTCGCAATATAAAGTTCTTTTTTATTGGAATGTTTCCGACACTTGTGCGAATTCTCAATATGAAATTTATAGACGATTATTTATCAAATTTCTTCAAAGACATTATAAGGACTACAATCGCAACTCGCGACGCAGAACACATTACACGTCCGGATATGCTGCAGTTAATGATGGATATGAGAGGCAAAGAAGGTCACAGAGAATTAGACATCGACGACATGACTGCGCAAGCGTTCATCTTTTTCCTCGCCGGTTTCGAGACCAGTTCCACTGCAATGTGCTTTGCAGCTCACGAAATAGCAGCTAATCCAGAAATTCAGTTAAAATTGCAACAAGAGATCGACAAAGTTTTGGACGAATCGAACGGAGAAGTGTCTTACGAAACCATTAATCGACTCGAATATTTAGATGCGGTGATAAGTGAGGCTCTTAGATTATATCCACCAATCACAGCATTAGAAAGAATATGTAAAAAAACTTTTGAGTTACCACCCGCGTTGCCGAACGAGAAACCTTTTATCATGAAGAAAGGTATGGTTGCTTGGATTCCTGTTCTTGCAATCCATCATGATGAAAAGTATTACGACAATCCGAAGAAATTTGATCCAGAAAGATTTTTAAACAACAAGATGAACAATTCTTCGAATTATATGCCATTTGGATTAGGACCGAGAATGTGCATAGCTAATAGGTTTGCCATGCTGGAAGTCAAAATATTGTTCTTTCACTTATTAGCGCGATGTGAGCTAAAACCTTCTGCAAAGACTAGGTCCCCAATAGAATTTTACAAAGATTTCATGATAATGCCGAAAAATGGATTCTGGTTGAATATTCAGCGTAGAAAAAATATGCATCCTGTATTGGAGTCTATTCCTGTAGTAACGGATTAAGCCTCAGAAAACATTTGAAATGGTAATAATACAGATATTATAAAAAAATTACAGTTATCAATTCTTTGAAATATTTAAAAATTTATTTTTATTATCGTTATTAAATTGACGATTAATGTGTAATGTTATTTCCAGCTTCAATTCATGTTTGTCATTTAAGGGTCCGCATCGGCCTGTGCTGTATAGAACTGATTAATGTATTATATTTACAAATTTTCAACAGTAATTTGTAAATATTAACATTATCAATAATAAACTGTGTTACTTATAAATATGAGTATTATTATATTAAACAAAATTCGTTTCAACCAAACGACATCCGTTTCAACCAAAAAAAGGATTACTTTCTTTATTTGATTCATTCTCATTGGTCTAAATTCAACTTATTAAAAACTTATAAAAAACTTACATTTTAATAAAAACTTATAAAAAAAATTACATTTTAATAACAACTTATAAAAAAATTACATTTTAATAAAAATTCCTTTTTAATAGGAATTATACATGGACTTTCATGAATATAGACATATTATAGTATTGTATATATATTATAGTATTATAGTATTGTATGAAATAATAATGAAATCAACATTATTTATTAAAATTATTTATTGCGAATGTTAATTATTAGTCAATAATCTTGTAACTTCAAGAATAAATCCAATATAAATAAAATGCCTATATGAGCCTCCGCAATTGTTAGAACATAAATTGTTAGGCATTTTAATATATTGAATTAATTATTAGTATTACTGAAATATTGTTGAAATATAGCTTAGCAAAAATAAAATCAGAACAGATTATAGCAATTTCTATTTATATGATCGAATTTGTTTTTTCCGCCGCCCGCGCGCGTGCAATATATTTTCATAATATTGATATAAAGTTTTGAAAACAAATAGAAAAAAACGTGATAAGGAATGTGTATAAGCTACACGATATTTATTATTAATATTTATTAATATTTACTACTACCCTTAATAACAGCATGACTTTTTTAAATATAGGTACTCGCATGGGAAACAATTGACTTATATTTTAATTAATTCATTTTTATGTATAAATCAATTTTTTTATTACTGATAATTATAAACTAAGACACGTTATCAACAAAAAGTAATAATTTTTAAAACATAAAAATTAAAAAATATTCATGTTCTTAAACGTATTTTTTTATGTAACATTTTGATCAGTTAATTCATAACTTTCACAATGAAAAGAAATTACTATATATTGATGAATATTTTTTTAATTGTAAATAGATATTTTTACTTACAGTAGGTAAATATATTTACTCTATGAAAAAAAATGATAGTTAAATTAAAGTAATGATTATTGTTCAAACTATGTATAAGATAGTTACTCAATCAGACATATGACAGTTTTATTTTCAACTTCATTTCTTGAATAGAGTGCTTATTAAGAAATCAAGTGAATTAAATGATTATTAAAACGACATATTCTCACTAATATGATGTAATAGAAACCAAAATATCAAAATGATTTCTAATTTATGATACAATGAAAGATGAAAATAAAAAATTGCAAAATGGCAGAGAACTTTTTAATTCGCTCTCTCTCTGTGTGTGTGTGTGTGTGTGTGTGTGTGTGTGTGTGTGTGTACATATGTGCAAACAGCACACATAATAATGATTTATTGATTTCCATCGATCAAAATATCAACTGATTGATCTTACATAAGGTGCATACAGGGAAACTGGTAGCGCTGTTTGCGTTACTCTATCTTTATTGTCCATTAAACGCAAAACAACGACAGAGTAACACAAATAGCGCGGATAGCGTCATTGCGAACCCATCCATAATATAGCTTGAAAGCATTACATAACAACGATTATCAGTATATTACGACATGGGAACTGCTATAACGAGTAGTTCTACGCAGCGACTCGTGTCAGCAGTATCGCTAGTGCTCTATAGTCAGACACATTTCACCAGACGTTTACAAAAAAATTGTTGGAAAATTTTTAAATAACATCCGTTTGTGCCATGGAATATTGGTCGATATTATTATCGATAGTGATTGGAGTGATCAGCATTCATTATCTTTTTAAAAATTTTAATTTCTTTAAAAGAAATGGTATTATACACTTACCTCCTCTTCCATTATTCGGATCCACGATATCGATGATATTTCGTCGAATATCATTCTTCGATTTCATGCTGAAGATATACAATTGCTATCCAAACGCAAAGTATTTTGGAGTCTACTTCACGACAACTCCAGTCTTTCTGCTCCGTGATCTGGAACTCATTAAAACCGTCCTGGTTAAAAATTTCGATGCATTTCCAGATCGTCGTGGTTTCGCCGACTTCAACGATCCTTTATTTGAAAAAAATTTATTTTCTCTTCACGGAGAAAAATGGCGAAACGTGAGGAATCTGTTGAATCCCTCTTTTACTTCCAGCAAAATGAAAATGATGTTCACATTGATGTCCGAATGCGCTATGAATTTTGTAAAATTTCTGTCGACATTATCAGCAGATAAAGGCGATATAAACATGAAAGATGTCTGCTCTAAATATACAACCGATGTCATTGCTACGTGTGCATTTGGAATCAAAGTGAACTCTATGAAATATCCAACGAACAAATTCTATATTTATGGCAAGGAGGCGACTAATTTCACAGGGGTCCTTCGCAGTATAAAGTTCTTTTTTCTTGGAGCATTTCCACGACTCGGGCGAATTCTCAATTTGAAAATTATGAACGATTATGTTTCGAACTTCTTTCAGGATATTATAAGGACTACAATCGCTACTCGTGACGCAGAACACATTACACGTCCGGATATGTTGCAGTTAATGATGGATATCAGAGGCAAAGAAGGTCGTAGAAAACTAGACATCGACGACATGACTGCGCAAGCGTTTATCTTTTTCATCGGCGGTTTCGAGACCAGTTCAACTGCAATGTGCTTTGCAGCTCATGAAATTGCAGCTCATCCAGAAATTCAGATAAAATTACACAAAGAAATTGACAAGGTTTTAGAGGATTCGAACGGAGAAGTGTCTTATGAAGCTATTAATCGGCTCGAATATTTAGATGCGGTAATATGTGAAGCTCTTAGATTATATCCACCAGTTGCTGTTTTAGAAAGAATATGTGAAAAAACTTATGAATTACCTTCCGCATTGCCGGGCCAAATACCTTTTATCATAAAAAAGGGTATGCTTGTTTGGATCCCAGTTCTTGCAATCCATCATGATGAAAAGTATTACGATAATCCGGAAAAATTTGATCCAGAAAGATTTTTAAACAACAAAATGCACAATTCTTTCAGTTATATGCCATTCGGATTAGGACCGAGAATGTGTATAGCAAACAGATTTGCCATGTTGGAAGTCAAAGTCTTGCTGTTTCATTTATTAGCGCAATGTGAACTGAAACCATCTATGAAAACTACGTCACCAATAAAATTCTGCAAAGAATTTCTAATAATGATGCCGGAGAATGGATTCTGGTTAAATATTCAGCGTAGAAAAAATATGCATTTTGTACAGGAGTTTACAATAACGGATAGTTAGGCTTCAGAAAACATTTCAAATGGTAATGCATAATTTTTATAATATTATAAAGAAATTACAGTTATCAATTGTTTAGTATTATAAATTTTATTTTCATTATTGTTATTAAATTAACGATTATTATAATCTGTCATATTATGTTCAGCTTCAATTTATGTTTGTGATTTAAGTCCGACAAATCGCATCAGCGTTTTTATAGAACTGAAGCGCAATTTATAGAACTGAATAATGCATTTACAAATTTTCAACTGTAATTTGTAAATATTAAAATTATCAAAGACGTACTGTGTTATTTAAAAATGAGTATTATTAAACATCATTATCGAGATCCTTTTCGAAAAAAGGATTTCGATTCTCCTTTCATTTGATTTATTCTTTTTGGTCTAAATTCATCTTATTAAAAAAATTATATTTTAATAAAAATTATCTTTATAATAGAAATTGCATATGTGTTTACTTACCTTAATAAATGTGTACATATTGTAGTATTATATAAAATAATAATGAAATCAATATATAATACATAATTAAAATTACTTATTGCTATTGTTAATATACTTAGTTAATTAATAAGTTAATAGTTTTGTAATCCCAAGAATAAATCCATTACATATAAAACGCCAATAGTCTTTTGCAGTTGTTAATGCGTAAATTATATATTTATATATATATTTATATGATGCGACATAATTCACTAACAGTGTACTTATCAAGCAAAGTTAATTGTAATCTGGTATATGCATTTTACTTTATTGAATTAATAATTAGTATTACTAAAATATTGTTGAAATATACCTCCCGACATAAGCCAACTTTGCACACATTCACTAAATTAGTCTACATTCATGAATAATTATGCATGTCATGTATCGGTATGTATATAATATTTAATAATCTAACATACATTGGTCATATCGTTTGGAGGTACTGTTATTGAAATTCTTGAAATATCAATTAACAAAAATAAAAACAGTTTGTAACAATTTCTATTTATTTATATGATCGAATTTGTTTTCTCCGATTAACGTTTTTTAATAATTTATTGATGTATTTTTTATAAAAATAAACAGAAGAAAACGCGATATGAAAAGCGTGTAGACTATAGGATATATATTATTACTCTTAGTAATAGCATGACTTTTCTTAACGATAGTGCTTGCGTGAGGATCAATTGACCTATATTTTAATTTATTTATTTTTTTCGTGTAAATCATTTCTTATTTTTACTTAATTTTTACTTATAAATAATTATAAACTAAGAGACGTTATCAACAAGAAATAATAATTCTTAAGAGTTACAAGTTAAAAGATATCTATGTCCTTGAATATTTCTTACGTAAAATTTTAGTCAGTTAATTCATGACTTACACACTGAAAAGAAATTACTATATAATGAATATTTTTTTAATTGTAAGTAGACATTTTTACTTACAGTAAGTAAATATATTTACTCAATGGTAGTTAAATTAAATTAATGATTCTCTTATTCAAACTATAATATACTAAAATATTCACTCAATCACACATATAATAGTTTTATTTTCAACTTCACTTTTTGAGCACAATGCTTATTAAATAATCGAGTGAATTGAATGATTGTTAGAACGACATATTCTCACTAATATGATGTAATAGGAATCAAGATTAAAATGATTTCTAATCTCCCGTGATAGAATCACAGATAAAAATAAAAAATGGCAAAATGGGAGAGGATTTTTCGATTCAGCATAGTTCATTCTATCTACACACGAGCGTTTTGTCAAAATTTATCGGACACACTGTATATGTATACAAACATATTCCTGCGCGCGCGCGCGTGTGTGTATGTATACATATGTGCAAACAGCACACATAATAATGATTTATTGATTTGTATCGATCAAAGTATCAACACTGATTGATTACTTATATAAGGTGCATTCGGGAAACGCTAGTCGCGCTGTTTGCGTTACTCTATCTTTGTCGTCTATTAAACGCAAAACAAGGACAGAGTAACACAAATACCGAACCCATCCATAATATAGCTTGGAAGCATTACATAACAACGATTACCAGTATATTACGAGATGGGAACTGCTACAACGAGCAGTTCTACGCAGCGACTCGTGTCAGCAGTATCGCTAGTGCTTTATAGTCAGACACATTTCACCAGACGTTTACAAAAAAATTGTTGGAAAATTTTTAAATAACATCCGTTTGTGCCATGGAATATTGGTCGATATTATTATCGATAGTGATTGGAGTGATCAGCATTTATTATCTTTTTAAAAATTTTAATTTCTTTAAAAGAAATGGCATTATACACTTACCGCCTCTTCCATTATTCGGATCCACGATATCGATGGTATTTCGTCGAATATCATTCTTCGATTTCATGCTGAAGATATATAATTGCTATCCAAACGCAAAGTATTTTGGATTCTACTTCACGACAACTCCAGTCTTTCTGCTTCGCGATGTGGAACTCATTAAAACCGTCCTGGTTAAAAATTTCGATGCATTTCCAGATCGTCGTGGTTTCGCCGATTTTAACGATCCTTTATTTGAAAAAAATTTGTTTTCTCTTCACGGAGAAAAATGGCGGAACGTGAGGAATCTGTTGAGTCCATCTTTTACTTCCAGCAAAATGAAAATGATGTTTACATTGATGTCCGAATGCGCTATGAATTTTGCAAAATTTCTGTCGACATTATCAGCAGATAAAGGTGATATAAACATGAAAGATGTCTGCTCTAAATATACTACCGATGTCATTGCTACTTGTGCATTTGGAATCAAAGTCAATTCTATGAAAGATCCAACGAACAAATTCTATGTTTATGGCAAGGAGGCGAGTAACTTTAGAGGGGTCCTTCGCGGTATAAAGTTCTTTTTTCTTGGATCATTTCCAAGACTCGGGCGAATTCTCAATTTGAAAATTATGAAAGATTATGTTTCGGACTTCTTCAAGGATATTATAAGGACTACAATCGCCACTCGTGACGCAGAACACATTACACGTCCGGATATGCTGCAGTTAATGATGGATATCAGAGGCAAAGAAGGTCGTAGAGAATTAGACATCGACGACATGACTGCGCAAGCGTTTATCTTTTTCATCGGCGGTTTCGAGACCAGTTCAACTGCAATGTGCTTTGCAGCTCATGAAATTGCAGCTCATCCAGAAATTCAGATAAAATTACACAAAGAAATTGACAAGGTTTTAGAGGATTCGAACGGAGAAGTGTCTTATGAAGCTATTAATCGGCTCGAATATTTAGATGCGGTGATATGTGAGGCTCTTAGATTATATCCACCAGTCGGTTTCCTAGAAAGGGTGTGTAAAAAAACTTATGAATTACCATCCGCATTGCCGGACAGAAAACCTTTTATCATGAAAAAGGACATGCTTGTTTGGATTCCAGTTCTTGCAATTCATCATGATGAAAAGCATTACGATAATCCGGAGAAATTTGATCCAGAAAGATTTTTAAACAACAAAATGCACAATTCTTCGAGTTATATGCCATTCGGATTAGGACCGAGAATGTGTATAGCAAACAGATTTGCAATGTTGGAAGTCAAAGTCTTGTTGTTTCATTTATTAGCGCAATGTGAACTGAAACCATCTATGAAAACTACGTCACCAATAAAATTCTGCAAAGAATTTCTAATAATGATGCCGGAGAATGGATTCTGGTTAAATATTCAGCGTAGAAAAAATATGCATTTTGTACAGGAGTTTACAATAACGGATAGTTAGGCTTCAGAAAACATTTCAAATGGTAATGCATAATTTTTATAATTTTATAAAAAAATTACACTTACCAATTGTTTAGTGTTTTAAATATTATTTTTATTATCGTTATTAAATTAACGATTATTATAATCTGTTATATTATGTCCAGCTTCAATTCATATTTGTGATTTAAATCCGACAAATCGCATCAGTGTGCCATTTATAGAACTGAATAATGTATTTACAAATTTTCAACTGTGATTTGTAAATATTAACATTATCAAGGGCGAACTGTGTTATTTAAAAATAAATATTATTAAACATCATTATCGAGATCCTTTTCGAAAAAAGGATTCTCCATTCATCTGATTTATTCTTTTTGGTCTAAATTCATCTTAAAAAAGTTATATTTTAAAAATTATTTTTGTAATAGAAATTGCACATGTGTACTTACTTTAATAAATGTGTACATATTGTATTATATAAAATAATAATGAAATCAATATCAATCATGCATTAAAATTATTTATTGCTATTGTTAATATAATTATTTAATAAGTTAATAGTTTTGTTATCCCAATAATAAATCCATTACAAATTAAACGCCTAAGTGATCCTTTGTAGTTGTTAATGCGTAAATTATGTATTTATATGATGCGAAATAATTCACTAACAGTGTACTTACCAAGCAAAGTTAATTGTAATCTGGTATATAAATTCTACTTTATTGTATTAATAATTAATATTACTGAAATATTGTTGAAATATACCTCCCGACATAAGCCAACTTTGCGCACATTCACTAAATTGTCTACATTCATGGATAATTATGCATGTATCGGTATATATGTGTATAATATTTAATAATCTAACATACATTGATCATATCGTTTGGAGGTACTGTTATTGAAATTCTTGAAATATCATTTAACAAAAATAAAATAAAAACAGTTTGTAACAATTTCTATTTATTTATATGATCGAATTTGTTTTCTCCGATTAACGTTTTTTAATAATTTACTGATGTATTTTTATAAAAATAAACAGAAGAAACCGCGATATGAAAAGCGTGCAGGCTTTAGGATATATATTATTACCCTTAGTAATAGTGTGACTTTTCTTAACGTTAGTGCTCGCGTGAGGGTCAATTGACCTATATTTTAATTAATTTATTTTTTTCGTGTAAACCAATTTCTTATTTTTACTTATAAATAATTATAAACTAAGACATGCAACAGGAAAAAATAATTTTTAAGAGTTAAAAATTAAAAGATATCTATGTCCTTCAACATATTTCTTACGTAAAATTTTAGTCTGTTAATTCATGACTTACACACTGAAAAGAAATTACTATATAATGAATATTTTTTAATTATAAGTAGACATTTTTACAGTAAGAAAATATATTTACTCAATGTAGTTAAATTAAATTAATGATTCTCTTGTTCAAACTATACTAAGATATTTACTCAATCACACATATAATAGTTTTGTTTTCAACTTCACTTTCTGAGCACAATGCTTATTAAGTAATCGAGTGAATTGAATGATTGTTAGAACGACATATTCACACTAATATGATGTAATAGGGATCAAGGTCAAAATAATTTTTAATTTACCATGATAGAATCAAAGATAAAAATAAAAAATTGCAAAATGGAAGAGAATTTCCGATTCACTCTATCTACACACGAGCGCTTTGTCAAAATTTACCGGACACACTGTATATGTATACACATATATGCGCGCACGCGCGCGCGCGTGTGTGTGTGTGTGTGTGTGTGTGTGTATACATACAATGCAAACAGCACACATAATAACGATTTATTGATTTGCATCGATCAAACTATCAACACTGATTGATCTTATATAAGGTGCATTTGGGGAAAAGCTAGTAGCGCCGTTTGCGTTACTCTATCTTTATCGTCCATTAAACGCAAAACAACGACAGAGTAACACAAATAGCGCGGATAGCGTCATTGCGAACCCATCCATAATATAGCTTGAAAGCATTACATAACAACGATTACCAGTATATTACGACATGGGAACTGCTATAACGAGTAGTTCTACGCAGCGACTCGTGTCAGCAGTATCGCTAGTGCTCTATAGTCAGACACATTTCACCAGACGTTTACAAAAAAATTGTTGGAAAATTTTTAAATAACATCCGTTTGTGCCATGGAATATTGGTCGATATTATTATCGATAGTGATTGGAGTGATCAGCATTCATTATCTTTTTAAAAATTTTAATTTCTTTAAAAGAAATAGCATTATACACTTACGGCCTCTTCCATTATTTGGATCCACAATATCGATGGTATTCCGTCGAATATCATTCTTCGATTTCATGCTGAAGATATACAATTACTATCCAAGCGCAAAGTATTTTGGATTCTATTTCATGACAATTCCAGTCTTTCTGCTCCGCGATGTAGAACTCATTAAAACCGTCCTGGTTAAAAATTTTGATGCATTTCCAGATCGTCGTGGTTTCGCCGACTTTAACGATCCTTTATTAAAAAAAAATTTGCTTTCTCTTCACGGAGAAAAATGGCGAAACGTGAGGAATCTGTTGAGTCCCTCTTTTACTTCCAGCAAAATGAAAATGATGTTCACATTAATGTCCGAATGCGCTATGAATTTTGCAAAATTTCTGTCGACATTATCAGCAGATAAAGGTGATATAAACATGAAAGATGTCTGCTCTAAATATACTACCGACGTCATTGCTACGTGTGCATTTGGAATCAAAGTCAATTCTATGAAAGATCCAACGAACAAATTCTATATTTATGGCAAGGAGGCGAGTAATTTCAGAGGAGTCATTCGCAATATAAAGTTTTTTTTTATTGGAACGTTTCCAAGACTCGGGAGAATTCTCAATTTAAAAATTATGAACGATTATGTTTCGGACTTCTTCAAGGATATTATAAGGACTACAATCGCCACTCGTGACGCAGAACACATTACACGTCCGGATATGCTGCAGTTAATGATGGATATCAGAGGCAAAGAAGGTCGTAGAGAATTAGACATCGACGACATGACTGCGCAAGCGTTCATCTTTTTCCTCGGTGGTTTCGAGACCAGTTCCACTGCAATGTGCTTCGCAGCTCACGAAATAGCAGCTAATCCAGAAATTCAATTGAAATTGCAACAAGAAATTGACAAGGTTTTAGAAGAGTCGAACGGAGAAGTGTCTTACGAAGCTATTAATCGGCTCGAATATTTAGATGCGGTGATATGTGAGGCTCTTAGATTATATCCACCAGCCGGCGCTTTAGAAAGGATATGCGAAAAAACTTTTGAGTTACCTTCCGCATTGCCGGACCAGAAACCTTTTATCATGAAAAAGGGTATGCTTGTTTGGATTCCAGTTCTTGCAATCCATCGTGATGAAAAGCATTACGATAATCCGGAAAAATTTGATCCAGAAAGATTTTTAAACAACAAAATGCACAATTCTTCGAGTTATATGCCATTCGGATTAGGACCGAGAATGTGTATAGCAAACAGATTTGCAATGTTGGAAGTCAAAGTCTTGTTGTTTCATTTATTAGCGCAATGTGAACTGAAACCATCTATGAAAACTGTATCACCAATAAAATTCTGCAAAGATCTAATAATGATGCCGGAGAATGGATTCTGGTTAAATATTCAGCGTAGAAAAAATATGCATTTTGTACAGGAGTTTACAATAACGGATAGTTAGGCTTCAGAAAACATTTCAAATGGTAATGCATAATTTTTATAATATTATAAAGAAATTACAGTTATCAATTCTTTAGTGTTTTATATTTTACTTTTATTATCGTTATTAAATTGACGATTATTATGGTATAATCTGTCATATTATGTCCAGATTCAATTCATGTTTATGATTTAAGTCCGACAAACCGCATCAGCGTGCAATTTATAGAACTGAATAATGCATTTCCAATTTTCAACTAATTTAAAATTTGCAAATATTAACTTCATCAAGGACAAACTATGTTATTTAAATATGAGTATTATTAAACATCATTATCCACATCATTATATTTCGAAAAAAGGATTCTCCTTTCATTTGATTTATTCTTCTTGGTTTAAATTCAACTTATTAAAGAGAGAAGTTATATTTTAATACAAATTATTTTTATAATAGAAATTGCATATGTATCTTAATGAATGTGTACATATTGTAGTATTACATAAAATAATAATGAAATCAGGGTATATTAAAATTATTTACTGCTAATATTAATAATTAATTACTTAGTTAATAGTTTTGTAATCCCAAGAATAAATACATTACAAATAAAATGCCTAAGTAATCCTTTGCAGTTGTTAATGCGTAAATTATATATTTATATGACAATGAGACATAATTCGCTAACAGTGTACTTACCAAGCGAAATTAACAGTAAGCTGGTATATGCATTTTACTTTATTAATAATTAGTATTACTAAAATATTATTGAAATATGTCTCCCGACATAAGCCAACTTTGCACACATTCACTAAATTGGTCTATATTCATGGATAATTATGCATGTCATGTATTGGTAATATTTAATAGTCTAACATACATTGGTCATATCGTTTGGAGGTTTATTTAAATTCTTAAAATATCATTTAATAAAAATAAAACAAAAACAATTTGTAGCAATTTCTATTTATTTATATGATCGAATTTGTTTTTTCTCCGATTAATGTTTTTTTAATAATTTATTGATGTATTTTTATTAATATGAACATAAGAAAACGCATATGGAAAGCGGAAAGTAGGATATAGGATATATGTATATATTATTACCTTTAGTAATAGCGTGACTTTTCTTAACGTTAGTGCTCGCGTGAGGGTCAATTGACCTATATTTTAATTAATTTATTTTTTTCGTGTAAACCAATTTCTTATTTTTACTTATAAATAATTATAAAGTAAGATACGTTATCAATAGAAAATAATAATTTTTAGGAACTAGAAATTAAAAGAAAACCATGTTTTAAAATATATTTCTTTGTGTAATATTTTGGTCTATAAGTTCATAACTTACTTACTGAAAAGAAGTTACTATATCTTAATATATATTTTTTTGAATATTAAAAGTAAACATTTACTTACAGTAAAGTATTTATTCAATGAAAAAAATGCTATTTAAATTAATTTAATGGTCTTTATTGAAACAAATACATAAGACATTTTCTTATTGAATAAAGTTAACAAGTTTTATTTCCAACTTCTTGAGTATGCTTGTCAAGTAATTGAGTGAATTGAATGATTGTCAGAATGATACACTGTAAAAAATAAAATGTTAATTTTAACATTTTTGCATGTCTCAGAAAATCTACTAAACGTCTTTAAGTTAAAATTAATTTTTTTTTTCAAGTGTGTAATTTCATTAGTATGACATAATGAGGACCAAGGTCAGAGTGATTTCTAATTTACCATGATAGATTAAAAGATAAAAATAAAAAAAGTGAAAATCATAGAATTGTAGAACTTAAAGATTATAATAAGATTGTACCGGTAACAAAAACCACTGATGATAATAGATGTCAACATACATGTGCTATATGCATCAACAACATATTTTAATAAATGAACTTCTTTGTGTTAACATACTTACACATGTTATGTAATCTGCTGACGACTGGTTAACACATGCATACTTATATTTCCATGCAATATACCTACGTGAATTTCATTAGCTCTATACACTATGTAATATTGCACTATCATTCTATACAATTTGTCATTTTAATACTGATACTGAATTCAACGATTAAATATTTATATTAACAATAAAAAGTAAGCATAATCATTTGAGATATCAATTTAAAATCTGTAATACAGTCTTAACAAATTTATCTGTGGCATATTTATTACATACTTGATGACTTTATTCACTTCATATCAACAAAAAAATAATGAAAATAAATGCAACAAACAAAGATATTATAAAATAAGACATAACGACAAAATATAAAGATAAGAAGTATAAGATAAAATAAGATAATAAATTTTATCTTACATGATATAATGATATAATTTCTCATAAAATATAAGATTTTATAAAATTTCGTTCTCATACAAACTGAATAACTTTTCATTATTTATCAAATTAAAACAAAACATTTTCAAATTGATGCACTTTTTTTATACAATTGACATACAATATATTGATATACAATAATTTGTAAAGTAAATTCGAAGCAACATATTTTTATACATTACTTATTTTTTATTCAGTCCATTATCAAATGCTAATTTCAGTAAAAAATATTTTCAAACATCATTTCATATATACAAAATAAATAAAACAACATTAAATACAAAATTTATATAGGAATAGGCTTTAATCTTTAAATTGCACATTTAATATGATCGTGTAAGCTTCTTCATCAATTTTCTACGGATTACATTAGCAATTTAATTTTATATATATATACATATATATATAAGTGTGTGTGTGTGTGTGTGTGTGTGTGTGTGTGTACATACGTGCAAACAGCACACATAATAATGATTTATTGATTTGTATCGATCAAAGTATCAAATCTGATTGATCTTAATGTGCATTCTTAATGTGCTACCTATAAGGTGCATTCGGCGAAACGCTAGTAGCGCTGTTTGTGTTACTCTATCTTTATTGTCCATCAAAACAAGGACAGAGTAACATAAATAGCGCGGATAGCGTCATCTCGCACACATCCATAATGTAGCTTGAAAGCATTTACCTCACAATGATTGCTAGTATATTGCCACGTAGAAACTGTTGTAACGAGCAGTTGTACGCAACGACTCGTGTCAGCAGTATCGCTCTATGTATAGTCAGTCACTTTTTATTAAATATTTAAAAAGAGATTGTAGAAAGATCTTCTAATAACATCTGTTTGTGCCATGGAATATTGGTCGATACTATTATCGATAGTGATCGGTGTGATTAGCATTTATTATCTATTTAAAAATTTTAATTTTTTCAAAAGAAATGGTATTATACACTTACCGCCTGTTCCATTATTTGGATCCACGATGTCGGTTGTATTTCGTCGAATATCAATCTTCGATTTCATACTAAAGAAATATAAATTCACTCCAAACGCAAAGTATTTTGGATTCTACATGATGACAACTCCAATCTTCTTGCTTCGCGATCTGGAACTTATTAAAACTGTCCTGGTTAAAAATTTCGAGGCATTTCCAGATCATCGTGGTTTCGTCGACTTTAACGAGCCTTTATTTGAGAATAATTTGTTTTCTCTTCGTGGAGAAAAGTGGCGGAACGTGAGAAATCTATTGAGTCCCTCTTTTACTTCCAGCAAGATGAAAATGATGTTCACGTTGATGTCCGAATGTGCTGTGGATTTTGCAAAATTTCTATCGACATCACCAGTGGATAAAGGCAGTATAGACATGAAAGACATATGCTCCAAATATACGAATGATGTCATCGCAACATGTGCTTTCGGAATTAAGATCAACTCCATAAAAGACCCAACAAACAAATTTTATATTTACGGCAAGGAGGCAACTAACTTCAGAGGGGTCATTCGCGGTATAAAGTTCTTTTTTCTTTCTATATTTCCAAGACTTGGGCGAATTCTCAATTTGAAAATTATGAACGATTATGTTTCGAACTTCTTCAAGGATATTGTAAGGACTACAATCGCTACTCGTGACGCAGAACACATTACACGTCCGGATATGCTGCAGTTAATGATGGATATCAGAGGCAAAGGAGGTCATAGAGAACTAGACATTGATGACATGACTGCGCAAGCGTTCATCTTTTTCCTCGGTGGTTTCGAGACCAGTTCAACCACAATGTGCTATACAGCTCATGAGATTGCAGCTAATCCTGAAATTCAAATGAAATTACAACAAGAGATCGACATGGTTTTAGAGGAATCGAATGGAGAAGTGTCTTACGAAACCATTAATCGACTCGAATATTTAGATGCGGTGATATGTGAGGCTCTTAGATTATATCCACCAGTCGCCGCCTTAGAAAGGATTTGTGAAAAAACTTTTGAATTACCACCCGCATTGCCGGACGAAAAACCTTTTATTATGAAAAAAGGTATGCTTATTTGGATTCCAGTTCTTGCAATCCATCGTGATGAAAAGTATTACGATAATCCGGAGAAATTTGATCCAGAAAGATTTTTAAACAACAAGATGCGTAATTCTTCATGTTATATGCCATTCGGATTAGGACCGAGAATGTGTATAGCTTACAGATTTGCCATGTTGGAAGTCAAAGTCTTGCTTTTTCACTTATTAGCGCGATGTGAATTGAAACCATCTGTCAAAACTACATCACCAATGAAATTCTGCAAAGATGTAATAGTAATGATACCGGAAGATGGATTCTGGTTGAATATTCAGCGTAGAAAAAATATGCATTCTGTATTGGAATCTACAATAATGGAAGCCTCAGGAAACATTTTGAATACTAAGTAATAACATAGCTTTTATAAAAAATTATAATTATTAGTTCTTTAGAATGTTTTAAGTCAAGATACTTTTTAGCATCATTATTAAATTGGCTATTATTAAATATATCAACATAATTTGTAATGTTATTAGCAGTTTTAATTCATTAGTGTGTCCGACAGACCTCGGCGCGCAGTTATGGAGCTGACTTATGTATAGAAATTTTCAATAATAATTTGGAAATATTAAGATTATTTAACACAAACTGTTTTATTTACAAATATGAACATTATTTAGACTATTATCATGATCTGTTTTGACCGAAAAAATATTCCTTGTCTTATTTAATTTAATTGTTGAACTAAATTTGTCGAACTAAATTTTACTTATTATAGAAGTTACATTTTGTAATAAAAACTATGTTTGTAATAGAAATTATCCGTGCACAATTATAAACACACATATTACAGTATTTTATGCAGTAATAATAACATCCAGATTATATATTGTAATTACTCAGTGCGAACATCAATAATTAATTAAAATTAATAAATTAATTCTGTAATTCTAAAAATAACTTAAATAAAATGTCTACATGAACGGATGTTAGTGCGTAAATTACATATTTATAAGGAATATAAATGTATAAATAATATAAAATATTAAATTATATATTTAGTATTGTTCGAGAGCGAGTTAGAGCGAGAGCGAGAGCAAGAAAATTTTGAATGAGACGGCGTTTTGGCTGAATTTCGATTTACGCGAATTCTCAATTGCGAATCAAACGCGGCGGTTTTCTGGCGGCGGAGCGTTCCTTAGGCGGTTACACTTGTAAGCGTTGATTCGAGAACAGCGAAGAAGAAGAGGGATCATTGCTTCTCGGTTTTGCCTTTTATGCTCTTTTAAGAACAAAGGCTTCCCTTTGCATTCGCCTATGAGATTCTTGCAAAATTGAAAATTTTGAGGTGACCTTCTGTTTTGGGCGGCGATTGGCAATTTCGAGCGCAATAGCCAAGCGATAAGCTATTGCCATGCGCGCCCGCTAAATTTAGATTCTTGATTAGGATGTACGCATATTATGCGTTTTGCGTCATGCGATCGCGCGTGCGCTGCGACTGATCTGAGTTGATTCGCCGTTATTACGGTTGAGATCTGCGTACGTGCGACGTGCGACTTAGCTTATTGTTTTTCGACTTTATTGACGAGGTGATGGCCAAGTTTATGTTTTGGAAACCTATAAGGACGCTTGGAATCCTTCTAGAAGCTTCCGATCCGCACGTATCTCGAATAAGTATTAAACATTAAATTTTTATTATAAACAACACATTTATCTAAAATAGTACATATCATTAATAGCTTAATAATTAAATTTTTTCGATTTGTCTAATCATTGAGTCATATCCATTGACTGTCCACCTGATATATTTACGTATCTTATGTATATGAAAAATTGCACAATAATTCTACATAATTTATCATTTGAATATCAATAAAGTCAACAATTAATCATTTATATTGACAAATTAATAATAGTAATTTATATTGATAATAACTAATAGTAATTATAGATATCAAATTAAAACGACTTTTAGTTTTTAGACGAAATTTTATCAAATTGAAATAGCACAATGCATAAAATTGTTACGTAAGTCTTAATATCTTTATCGACGCTACTGATTTTGCATTAACAAATAGTGATAGAAAAAAATGTAACGAATAAACGTAAATGTAAGAAATACAAAACATAAAATAGATCATAACAAAGATTCTTATGTTTGTATATAATGTTATTTTATAATTTATTTATTAGATTTTATATATGAAGTTATCCACAGTACAAAGAGGCTTCCGCCCAGGAAATGAAACCTCTGAAATCAATAAATTCCAAGTCAACCAATATCGGCTGAACTTAGGAAACTTCAAACATGATTTTTTTCAACTTTCCCTGCTTATGAAAAAGTGGAATTTAATATTGGATGATTGGTCCAATATCAAACTTCACGTCATATTTTAAACAAATTTATAGAAGTTCCATCTCCAAGGCTGAAACCGTGAACATTCATTTTCTTTTCTTTCGTTCTCATGTAAATTGTATAACTTTTTATTATTCTTCAAATAGAAATTGAATATTTTCTCTGAAATAGGTGCATTTTCTTTCGATAAAATTCATTTTAAATATATACAATAACATATAAAGTAAGCCTACAAAAAAAATTGTATACACTATTTTTTATTTTATTCAATTTTATATATTCAAATAATAATCCCATTAAAAAATAATTGTTTAATAACGTTTCATATATTTAGAAATAATCCCATAATGATAACGTTAAGTACAGTATTTATGAGTCAATCTTTAAATTATAAATTGAATATGATTATGTAAACTTCTTCATTTATCTTCTTACATAATCAATTCTACATATCTAAATATATCAATGATGCGAATTCCAGTCCTCTTGCAGTACGGTTAACAAGAATGAAGAGAGTATAAGAACTTCTTATATCCTCTTCATGCTATTAACCGTGTTGAAAGCGGGCTGGAATTCGCATCGTTGAGATATATATATATATATATATATATATATATATATATGTACACACACATGCACACACGCGCATGTGCGGGTGAGCTACATATACACGAATATATTAGGTGTTGGAATTAATTCGTAGCGTTTTACAAGTGATGGGAAGTACTTTCATTAATATATTTTTTAATGCTCATGTGAAATAAATAACATTCTTTCATTAAAAACGCTACGAATTAATTCCAACACCTAATAAAATGTACACAATAAAGATTCATTGATCTAAACGAAGTACTAACGTTGACTAATTTTATATAATGATGTGCGTGCAGAGAATGATACTAGCGCTACTTACGTTATTCTTTCTTTAATGTGCATTAAACGTAAACCAAAACATAAACGTAAACAAGGTCAGAATAACACAAATAGCGCGGATAACATCATCCCGAACGCACACATAAAGCAGCTTGAAAGCAATCGCTTTCACAATACCGGTATATAACGAGATAGGAACTATACGAGCAGTTGCATGCTACGACTCGTCTACGGCAGTACTCGGCAGTACTGCTAGTGTTTTATAGATAGTCTATCTTATCAGATATTTAAAAAAATTGTAGTGATATATTCAAATAAAATCAGTTTGTGCCATGGAATACTGGTCAATATTATTGTCGATAATAATCGGAGTGTTCAGCATTCACTACCTTTTTAGAAATTTTAATTTCCTTAAAAGACATGGTATTGTACATATACCACCTGTTCCAATATTTGGATCCGCGATATCGATTATATTTCGTCGAATATCAATTATAGATTTCATCCTAAAAGTATACCATTTCAATCCAAACGCAAAGTATCTTGGATTCTACTTCATGACAAATCCAATATTCGTGATTCGTGATTTGGAACTCATTAAAAATATCCTTGTTAAAAATTTTGAAGCATTTCCGGATCGTCAAGGTTTCTCCAATACGAATGACTTTTTATTTAAGAACAATTTGTTTTCTCTTCAAGGAGAAAAATGGCGGAAGGTGAGAAATCTGTTGAGTCCTTCTTTTACTTCTAGCAAGATGAAAATGATGTTTACGTTGATGTCGGAATGTGCTGTGGATTTTGTAAAATCTATACCGACATCGTCAGCGGATGAAGAAAGTATAAACACGAAAGATGTTTTCACAAAATATACAACCGACGTCATCGCTACATGTGCGTTTGGAATTAAAGTCAACTCTATGCAGGATCCAACAAATAAATTCTATGTTTACGGCAAAGAGGCGAGTAACTTCAGAGGGTTCATCCGCGGTATAAAATTCCTTTTTCTTGGAACTTTTCCAAGATTCAGTCGAATTCTCAATATAAAGATTTTGAACGATTATGTGTCGAATTTCTTCAAGGACATTATAAAAACTACAATCATGACTCGTGATGCGGAACACATTACACGTCCAGATATGCTACAGTTAATGATGGATATCAGAGGCAAAGAAGGTCACAGAGAATTAGACATCGACGACATGACTGCGCAAGCGTTCATCTTTTTCCTCGGCGGTTTTGAGACCAGTTCAACTGCAATGTGCTTTGCAGCTCATGAAATTGCAGCTAATCCAGATATTCAGATCAAATTACAACAAGAGATCGACAACGTTTTAGAGAAATCAAACGGCGAAGTGTCTTACGAAGTCATTAATCGGCTGGAATATTTAGATGCGGTGATAAATGAGACTCTTAGATTATATCCACCAATCGGTTTCCTAGAAAGGGTGTGTAAAAAAACTTATGAATTACCATCCGCATTGCCGGACAGAAAACCTTTTATCATGAAAAAGGACATGCTTGTTTGGATTCCGATTTTTGCAATCCAACGTGATGAAAAGTATTATGATAATCCGGAGAAATTTGATCCAGAAAAATTTTTAGACAATAAAATGCACAATTCTTCGTGTTATATGCCATTTGGATTAGGACCGAAAATGTGTATAGCTAACAGGTTTGGTATGCTAGAAGTTAAAATTTTACTGTTTCATTTATTAGCGCGATGTGAGCTGAAACCTTCTACGAAAACCGTTTCCCCAATAAAATTTTGCAAAGTTGGGTTTCTAATGCCAGAGGATGGATTTTGGTTGAATATTCAGCGCAGAAAAGATATACATCCTGTGCTAACATCTTATAATTGTGAATAGGTAAGCTTCGGAAAACATTTTAAATAGTAATAACATAATTGTTATAAAAAAATTACAGTTATCAGTTCTTTATGATTAAAAGTGCGTTTTAGCATCATTATTGAATTGACGATTAATACAATGTTTTATATTATTTTCAGCTTCAATTCACGATTGTGCTTCAAGTCTGACAAATCGAGCCGGATCGTAGTTTGTAGAACTGAAAGATATGGTTATAAATTTTCATCTGTGCGTAAATACACACACACACACACACACACACACACACACACACACACACACACATATATATATATAATATTAATATTATCAAGCACATCCTATTATTTATAAATGTAAACATTATTAAAATTATTATCGAAATCTGTTTTAATTGAAAAAAATTTTTTTTTTATTTTATTTACTTTTATCAATCTAAATTCCACAAGAATATACATTTATTTCTCATGATCTTCATAAATAATATATGTATAATATACATACTATAATATTATATGTGATAATAGAGAGTAAAACAAGATTATATATTAAAATTATTTGTTGGAAATATTATTAGGTGTTGGAATTAATTCGTAGCGTTTTACAAGTGATGGGAAGTACTTTCATTAATGTATTTTTTAATGCTCATGTGAAATAAATAACATTCTTTCATTAAAAACGCTACGAATTAATTCCAACACCTAATAATAATATCTTCCCGTACATCAATGTTGCACGCACATAAATTTTCGTAAAATAATAACGTTTTAATGAGATTTAAATTTACTTCTAAGAATTCAATGTTATTTCTTTGTGTAATTTATTAGTCTGTAACCTACTAATTTCGTAAGCACAGATTGTAAAAGATTATTGAACAAATGTCGCGACTTTGACAGCTCAAAACTCCATGTTAAACTAAAAAGTGATAAAAAAAGATCATAATTAAAAAAATTTTTTTCGTTTTCGACATAAATTTCACATATATATGTAGTGTATATAAATATTAATTTTAGAGAAATATTAATTTTAAAGAAGAATTTTCAAATTTATAAAAGTAATATATGCGATATCGTTGTATGAAAATTATTGTATTCAGTTAGTAAAACAGAAACTTTAGGATTACCTAAAGTCTATGTACGTCTATAAAAAATTGTACAACTATTATATTCTAAGGCCCGATTTCACAATATATGGTTTTCTAAAAATTAAAAGTAATCAAGAAGAAATTTCATTGATGTCTGTTAATAACCTTTAATCTTTAGGTAACCATATAAAATGTGAAGATTGGCTTATGTAATTTATCATTTGAATACCAATGAAGTGAAAAAAAATATTAAATATTTATATTGATTAAACATTTATATCACAAATTACAAGAGTGTATAACATAAAAGAGTTAGTAAAGAAACAGGAATTTGTAGAATAGTTATAGCAACAATGACCAAAGTCTATAATTATATAAGAAGTGGAAGAGGAGGAGAGAATAAAAACGATGATACGTAATCAACAAATAGTTCAGAAGAAGCGAATAATCGAGCGAGTCGGTTTATCGAATTTTTTGTAACAACGTCAGCTAAAATATAATGTGTCTCAGATCAAAAAGCAATAGATTTGTTGGTTTTCTGGAAGAAAGAGCTCGTCCTGAGTTTTGGTAGAAGTGAACATCATATTCATTATAAGCCTGGTGTGCCTACGAGAAGCCTGAAAAGTGTACAGTCGCCATATCTGCGCAATTCCGGAGTACACGCAACCGAATAGAGAAGCCGAAGCACTGGATTTCTCGGCCTTTGCAGCACGCTGCCTCAAGAGATCTCAAGGATGTAACGATGATAGCATACATATTCGCATCGCTTTCTTTCGCTCTTTCCTCCAGTTCCATACAAAGGATAAAATAAACAGATATGTATTTGTAACTCCGCTCAATAATTGTAACGAAGTAGCACTAAATAAATCTCGTATGGTCATGTTATCCGTCGAATGATAACAGTATTGTACATTCAGTCTTACTGTATAAAATTGTTATATAAATCTTAATGTTCTTATCGACGATATTCGTTCCACTTTAACAAACTTTATAAAATTTTATTTTCATATAAATCGCATAAGTTTTTATTTTTTTTTACATAGAAAAATAGAATATTTTTAGTGAAATTAGTGCGTTTTGTTTTGATAAAATTAGTTTATATATATATAATATATAAAACGTAATAATTTATAAAATAACCCTAAGCAACATATTTTTATATATCATTTATTTTTTATCTTATTCAATTTTATATTATATATAATACAAATTTCGATAAAAAAATGTTTTCAAACACCATTTCATATCATATAGAAGTAATTCTAGAACAATAACGTTACAATATTTATATATAAGTTTCAGTCTTTAAACTGCAAATGCATAATATAATTTCGCTAATATGATCATGTAAGCATCGTTATTTATCTTCTGCGGATTACATAAGCATTGTAATTTTACATATGTATACACGTGTGCTATATATATATATATATATATATACGAACATGTATGTAGTGTATATAACAATAATTTATTGATTTATGATAAGCAAAGTAACAAAGCTAATAATAATATCACATAATATTAGATTAAAAGCTTTTGCGTAAAAAAGATTACTAATACATTACGCATAGAAATAAGTTGAATAGTTGCCTGCGATAATATTTCGATAATATCGTTAATACTTTTCAGTCAGTCACATCTTATTAAAAGTATATTAAAGGAATTGTAGTACAATTTTCAAATAATATGGAATATTATTGGTCGATATTGTTATCTATAGTGATCGGTGTGATCAGCATTCATTATCTGTTTAGAAATTTTAATTTCTTTAAAAGACATGGTATTATACATATACCACCTATTCCAATATTCGGCTCTATGATATCATCTATATTTTTTCGAACATCATTCGTCGATTACCTTCTAAAGATATATAATTTCAATCCAAATGCAAAGTATTATGGATTCTACTTGATGACAACTCCAGTCTTCTTGCTTCGCGATCCGGAACTCATTAAGAATATCCTTGTTAAGAATTTTGAATCATTTCCAAATCGTTTTGATCTTTCTGATTTGAATGATCCTTTAGTTAAGAACAATTTATTTACTATTTGGGGAGAAAAATGGCGGAATGTAAGAAATCTGTTGAGTCCCTCTTTTACGCCTAACAAGATGAAAATGATGTTCACATTAATATCGGAATGTGCTAAGGATTTTACAAAATTTATAACGACATTGCCAGCAGATAAAGGGAGTATAAACATGAAAGATGCATTTTCTAAGTATACAAACGACGTCATTGCTACGTGTGCATTTGGAATCAAAATCAATTCTATGAAGGATCCAACGAATGAGTTTTACATTAACAGTAAGAAAATACTATCTAACTTTAAAGGGATTCGTGTCTTAAAGTTTCTTCTTATTAGAACTTTTCCGAAACTTTCGAAAATTCTTAATTTCAAAGTTGTGGACGATTATTTGTCGGATTATTTCAAGGGCATTCTAAGAACTACAATCGCAACTCGCGACGCAGAACATATTACACGTCCGGATATGCTACAATTAATGATGGATATCCGAAGCAAAGGAGATCATAGAGAACTTGACGACATTGACGACATGATTGCGCAAGCGTTCATCTTTTTCCTCGGCGGTTTCGAGACTAGTTCCACTACAATGTGCTTCACAGCTCACGAAATAGCAGCTAATCCAAAAATTCAGTTGAAATTGCAACAAGAGATCGACAAAGTTTTAGAAGAATCGCACGGAGAAGTGTCTTACGAAATTATTAATCGGTTAGAATATTTAAATGCGGTAATAAGCGAGGCTCTGAGATTATATCCTCCATTTCCTATCTTAGAAAGGATATGCGAAAAAGCTTATGAATTACCATCCGCATTGCCTGACGAGAAATCTGTTATTGTGAAAAAAGGTATGAGTGTTTGGGTTCCAGCTTTTGCAATTCAACGTGATGAAAAGTATTTCGATAATCCGGAGAAATTTGATCCAGAAAGATTTTTAGATAATAAGATGCAAAGTTCTTCATGGTATATGCCATTCGGATGTGGGCCGAGAATGTGCATAGCTAATAGGTTTGCCATGCTGGAAATCAAAGTATTGCTGTTTCACTTATTAGCACGATGTGAGCTGAAACCTTCTGCAAAAACTACGTCTCCAATAAAATTTCGCAAAGATCTAATGATAATGCCGGAGAATGGATTCTGGTTAAATATTCAGCGTAGAAAAGATTAGCATCCTGCGCTGAAATGTACCGTTATAGTGGATAATTAAGCCTTATGGAAATCCTAAAACAAAGCTGGAAGCTCTGAGGAAGTCACCAGAGTTTGTTGTTTTTCAAGCGCATCGACATGTCTTTATATACCACATTAATATCTTATGCAATCTATGATATACGCATGTTCGTGTTAATTTTCGAATAAGAAATTCGTCACGATAAAGCATCTAAATTTAATTCTAAGAACTCAACTTTATTTGTTCGTACAAACTACGTATTTGTGGATTATTATTTCGTAAGAACAAATTGTAAAATTTTCGTATCAAGCAAATGTTGTCATAAATTCCACCTTACAAACACATATTAATGTGTATACTTCAATCCTGGAAAAGGATTTTCGAATCTGTGAAAGAGAAACAAGTATTTGTTATACGAAAATTATATGATTTAGTCAGTAATACAGGTTTTAGGATTCTCTAAAACATTTCAAATAATAATATAGCTTCCATGTTTTTTATCCTACTTGTACTTTTTCATATTTTATATTATTAAGAAATAAAAAATAATAAATAGAAGTATTTTATTTCGCCGTGAAATATCAAGATGTCAAATAAGCTCTTTATTTCAATATATGTTGATGTAAATAATGAATACTGTTTGCCTTTTTTATATTTACTACGCAAAAAGTTATTTTAAATAGTATTTCTGTAGACGCATCCAGTGAAAAAATATTTTTATTGAATTTATTTCATTTTTCCGTGCGCATTGAAAATAAATATGTACTATTTTATATTTCAATTAACTATTTCCAAGCACAGGCCATTAGATATTTAAATATTATGTATTCGAATAACTAAAATTAAATATTTGATTATGTACTTAAACAACAATATTTTTATAAATTTTCAAATAAACAAAAGTAATAAAACTGCACTTAAGATATTTGCTCATTTTAACATATGACAGTTTTGTTTTTAACTTCACTTTTTGAGTGCAATACTTATTAAGTAATCCAGCGAATTGATTCTAAAAATGGTATATTCTCGTCTGTATGATGTAATGGGAGCCAAGGTCAAAATAATTTCTAAGTTATCGTGTCAGAATGAAAGAAAAAAGTGTATGTGTATGTGTATGTGTGTGTGCGAAAAATGGCACAATCATTCTACATAATTTATCATTTAAATATTGATGAAGTAAAAAATTAAGTGTTTATATTGATAATAAATTATAAGCTATATAATTATGGATATCAAATTAAAGTCCACGATGCAGTTTCATCAAATCGATATAAATAACATACTATGTAGAATTGTTACGTAAATTTTGATACTTTTATCCATGATATTCGTTTCACGCCAACAAACTGTAATAATAATAAATGTAATGGATCAACATACATAAGGAATATAAGATAAAATAAAACGAGGGATTTATGATTATATATAATGTTATTTTATAAAGATAAGATTTTATAAAATAAGTATAAGATTTTATAAAATTTTGTTCTCTTATAAATAAAAATGGAACTTCAAATAAAAATGGAATATTTTCAGTCGGATTAATGCGTTTTCTTTTGATAAAATTAATTTTAAATATATATAACGTAATCATTTATAAAATAACTCGAAGCGACATATTTTGATACATCATTTATTTTTCATCTTATTTTATTTTATATTGTATTAAATACTATTTTTAGTAAAAAGTATTTCCAAACATCGTTTTCTATCATTTAGAAATAATGTTAGTTAATAGTAATAACGTTAGTAGTAATAACGTTAAGAATCAAATTTATATACAATATATGCGTATCTTAAAATCTCTTTAAATTACATATTTATAATTTTGCAAATGATATGATCACATAAGCTTCATTTATCTTTTACAGATGACATAAGCAATTTTTAATATACGTATGTATTTTGTGTGTGTGTGTGTGTGTGTGTGTGTGTGTGTATATATACAACATGTCGCAACATAAGATTTGATTTATAACGAGCAAAAGCTGATTTATCATATAATATCAGCTCGAACATTTTTTCATCAGATTACCGATATATTACTACATTGGAATAAGCTGTACAAGCAGTTGTCTGCAACGACGCGCGTTAGAAATATCGCAAATACTCTTAAGTTAATCATATCTTATTACACATAGATTTACAAAGGAACTGTAGCAAGATTTTCAAATAACATGGAATATTGGTCGATACTGTTATCTATAGTGATTAGTGTGATGAGTATTCATTATCTTTTTAGAAACTTTAATTTCTTTAAAAGACATGGTATTATACATATACCGTCTGTTCCCATATTCGGAACCATGACATCGGTTATATTTCATCGAATATCATTCGTCGATTTTCTCCTGAAAATATACAATTTCAATCCAAGTGCAAAGTATATTGGATTCTACTTGGCGACAACTCCAATCTTCTTGCTTCGCGATCCGGAACTCATCAAAAATATTCTTGTTAAGAATTTTGAGTCATTTCCAAATCGTAATGGTTTTTCTGGTTTAAGTGACTCTTTATTTGAAAAAAATTTGTTTTCTCTTCAGGGAGAAAAGTGGCGGAACGTAAGAAGTTTATTGAGTCCCTCTTTTACGTCCAGCAAGATGAAAATGATGTTCACGTTGATGTCGGAATGTGCTGCAGATTTTGCAAAATTTCTTTCGACATTTCCAGCGTATGAAGAAAGTATAAACATGAAAGATGCTTTCTCTAAGTATACAAACGACGTCATTGCCACGTGTGCTTTCGGAATCAAAATTAACACTATGAAGGATCCAACGAATAAGTTTTATATTAACGGCAAGGAAGTGTCTAACTTCAGGGGCATTCGTGCCTTTAAGTTCCTTTTTCTCAGAAATTTTCCAAAACTCGGACGATTTCTGAATATAAAGTTTGTGAATGAATATGTTACGCGTTTTTTTAAGGACATTATAAAGACTACAATCGCTACTCGTGATGCAGAACACATCACTCGCCCGGATATGCTACAGTTAATGATGGATATTAGAGGTAAAGAAGGTCGTAGAGAACTAGACATCGATGACATGACTGCGCAGGCATTCATTTTTTTCCTTGGAGGCTTCGAAACCAGTTCAACTGCGATGTCGTTTATAGCTCATGAAATCGCAGCTAACCCAGAAATTCAAACCAAACTACAGCAAGAGATCGACAAGGTTTTGGAGGAATCGCACGAAGAAGTGTCTTACGAAGTCATTAATCAGCTAGAATATTTAGATGCAGTGATAAACGAGACTCTGAGATTATATCCACCAATCGGCATGTTAGAAAGAATATGCGAAAAAACTTTTGAATTACCATCCGCATTGCCGGACAAGAAACCTTTTATCATGAAAAAGGGTATGGCTGTTTGGATTCCGATTTTATCAATCCAACGTGATGAAAAGTATTATAATAATCCGGAAAAATTTGATCCAGAAAGATTTTTAAAAAATAAGATGCACAGTTCTTCATGGTAATAGATTTGCCATGCTGGAAATCAAAGTCTTGCTGTTTCACATATTAGCGCGATTTGATCTGAAACCTTGCACAAAAACTACATCCCCAATAAAATTTTGCAAAGATTTCATAATAATGCCGGAGAATGGATTCTGGTTAAATATTCGGCATAGAAAAGATAAGCATCCTGTGCTGAAAGCTACTGTAGTGGATAGTTAAGCCATAAAAAGCATTTCAGTAATAACATAGGTATTATGTTTTTTTATTCTATTTATGCTTTTTAGTATTTTGTACTGTTAAGAAATAAAAAATAGTAAATAGAAGTATTTTATTTTGCGTGAAATATCAAGATGTCAAATAAATTTTTTATTTTAATACGTATATATGTTAATGTAAATAATTAACTGTTTGCCTTTCTTATATTCACTACGAAAAAAGTTATTTTAAATAGTATTTCTATAGACGCATCCTCTAAATAAATATTACTATTGAATCTATTTTATTTTTCCTTGCACTGAAAACATATATTTATTTTTACTATTTTCTATTTCAATTAATTATTTTTTCAAGCACAGGTCATTATTTAAATATTATATTCGATTATATATATGTAAATATATAGCACTATACTTTTATAAATTTTCAAATATACAAAAAATGATAAAATTATACTTTAGACATTTGCTCATTTTAACATATGACAATTTTGTTTTCAACTTCATTTCTTGGTTTGTGTTCTATGGTTGAACTAGTGTATATTTTTGGAACATAAAGTGAGTTAATTTATATATTCGATATTTCGAATCGAAAGTGAGATAGCATATTTGGTATTTGTCGAAAGAAAAAAAAAATGTCTAGTGCAATCTAGTGTAGGAATAGAAAACAAACAACTTGCAATGCTTATCAAGTAATCGAGTGAATTGAATGATCATCAAAATGATATATACTCATCTGTATAATGCAATATGATGCAATGAGAATCAAAGTCAAAATAATTTCTAACAATAAGTTATAATGTCAGAATCGAAGATAAAAGTAAAAAGGTTTTCATAGAGTTGTAAATTCAAGATGATGAAGGAATTGTGCCAATAATAAAAATCAACAAAGAAATTCAGATCAAAATAGATATCTACATATATATGCTGTCAACAATATATTTTAATAAAAAGAACTTCTATGTATATTTTAATTTACATTATGTGTTACATAATCCGTTGGAGACTAGTTAATACATGTTTATACTTCGGTGCAATATATCTACGTGAATTAATTCTGTGTACATCAATGAAAAAATTGTACAATCATTCTACACAATTTATCATTTGAATATTGATAAAATAAAAAATTAAGTATTTGTATTGATGAATTATAAGCTACATAATATGAATTATAAGCTACATAATCATATAAATGACATATCATATAAAGTTCTTACGTAAATTTTGATACTTTTAGGCTAATTCTACAATGTGCTTTTTGTTTTCTGTTTCTTACTGTTTGTGTCTTGTCTTATTGATCAAAAAGGCAAGAGACAATCAGCAAGAAACAGAAAACAAAGAGCACATTGTAAAATTAGCCTTATGCACGATAAAACATTCGTTTTACATCAATAAATAGTTAATAACAATAAACGTAATGGATAAGCATGCAGATAAGAAATACAATTTAAAGTAAAATAACAAAAGATTTATGTTTATAATGTTATTTTATAAACTGTAAGATTTAATAAAATGTTGTTTTCATATAAACTCCAAATAAAATTGTGATATTTTCAATGGGATTAATGCATTTTTTTTATAAAATAAAATTAGTTTTAAATATGTACAACATAATAATTTATAAAATAATAACTCAAAGCAACATATATTGATCATTTATTTTTCTTATTTTATTTGACATTACGTCACATACTTTTTCAGTAAAATGTATTAGCTATCGCAATCCAACGTGATGAAAAAAATATTATAATAATCTGGAAAGAGTTTGATCCAGAAAGATTTTTAGACGATAAGATGCAGTTTCTTCATGATACCTGCCATTCGGATTAGGATCATGAATGCGCAATTCTCTTTTACCTAACAATCGAATCTTGATCAAAATTACAACTT